AAGTGGGTGGAAGTTGGCGCTGGTAGTGCTGGAGTAGATTTTATGGCAGAGTAAGTTGCTTGCCGCCACTCAGACGACTTAGATGGAGGACAAGTGGTGCATTGTTAACAAATTTAATGCCGTTCGAAGGATGACCGATGTGACGTCTGTTGGGTAAATGCACTAATATTTATGGAAGCGCATGTTTTGCAATCAAGTTATTAGTTGGCGTCGCTGGGGTGTTGTGCTAATTAAATTCAATTTCTTAAATTGTGCGAATTTCCTTAGAAAGCGGTTGAAAATCGTTTACAAACAAAGAAACCAAATATAGCAATTTTATTTTTATWCCATCTGGCAACAAGTCAAACAGTAACGCCACTTCGCAGTGAACGTGCCGTCTGTAGGTTGTGGTAAAATTCAATTGCCTCGCATGTGGTTCAAGATAAGTGTACATTGTTCATATGCACCTATGTATGTATATATGTACATATATATATCATATGTATATATATTTATGGTATAAATACATTTATATATACTTATGAGCAGTTTTTGCTACAGTTAGATATTTCGAAATTAGGTTACAAATTGAAACTGAGCAAAATAAAAATGAAAACAAGAAAACACTGTTCGAAAATTTGGAGCAAAAACAAAAAATAAGAGTACAATGGCACCGTATAACAATTTTTTTGTTTTRCTCCAGGGCCATATACATATGTATGTATGTACAAGAAGACAACTATAGTTGTAGAAAACAACACAGATATCGATAAGGAAAAAATAGTAATAGTAGTAAGTAGTAATTACTTTAAGTGCAGTAGAAAATGAGGGAAATACTGGATTTTGTAGGCGGAACCGGTAATGAGAAATACAAAATGAGGAAGAGTTTAAAGTGATGCAAAACATTTAAATTTAAGCAATTTCAAAACACTTTATTGCCCCATAAATGGGTAAATATGTCAAGATAATGTGCTATCATCCGATTTTTATATCGATTCACATGTTAATCTGCTCTGTCTTAATTAAATTTGACGCTTSTGATGTTTTTCGTAAGTTATCGAACTTCTAGTAATTTCACATTATTTTGGTGTGGGATATAGGCCTGGTTGTTATCTAATTTGTACCTGTTTCTATAACCAGAAATGCCAAAAAATTGAAAAAAAATTGAAAGAAATAATTTTGAAGATATTATGTGGTTACAAGCAGAAGAATATTTACTATATATCTAGTAAGAACAAGGAAACTCCAAAAAAATACACTAGTTAGCGCTCTGACGTTTTTATAATACTTACGTGGCTACGCCCACTTTTTCAAAACTTTTTGCTTACATGTGCCCTTTGGTACTACTATACCTTATTTTAGTGCTTAGTTATGGCATTTTATAGKTTTTCGGTTAATAGCGATTACGTTTATCTACGAACTCGTAATTTTTTTTTTGTACAGAGAAAACCGAATATTAAGTTTCATCAAGATGTCTCAATTTTTACTAAGTTACAATTTGCACGGACGGAAGGACAGACAGACAGTCGCCCGGATTTGAACTTTTCGYTGAATCGCTACGCACTTTTAAGGCTATTTCGGAAACTGACTTTAACAACTCGAGTTTTGGAAAAAACGTAGGTACAATATATATATTGGGGCCAAGGAGAATTACTTTGAAGGGGACGACATACATTTTAAAATTATAAACTGAGTCTTACTATTTGTTCCTCGTTGTAGTATTTGTAGTTGTGGTGGTGAAAGTTTTATCGTTTCTATTGTTCCTGTAATTGTTTTAGAATTTTCATTTCGTTTGTGCTTTTGCTGCTTCTTGGTAAAGTTAATTGAAAAGTAACAAAAATGTACATTAGGGTGCTTAAAATTTTTTTTTGAATTTTTGTTTTCAACTCTTACCCAAATGTTAGTGATTGACAAACAAAAAATTCTCCCTCAAGCCGAGCTCTGTAGCTTAACTCTAATTGGTCGCTGTTTGTTTTTTAGGTTCCCATATATTTTACTTAGTAATTCTCGTTTTTTCATTTAAACTAATATTTCACCAACTAATTTTGGCTTTTCAAACTTTAAAAATTCCCGAGACAAAATTATTATTCTCAGAAASATTTTTTATTTTTATTGAAAAAATAATCAAACTTTGTCGCAGAAATTTTTAAAGTTTGAAAAGTGAACTTTCTGAATATGTGATGGTTATTTAAAAAAAAAACGAAAATTAGTTGGTGGAACTTTAGTTTGAATGAAAAACGAAATTCTGAAACAATTACAGGAACAATAGAACCAATAAATCTTTCACCACTATTTCACAAACATTGAAAAAAATTTTTTGAAGCACCCTAATGTATATCATCTCCTGCGTATACATGCAACGATGAAACCAAAAACATACAAAAATTCATACCGATCCATGCATACATATGTATGTATGGTATGCGTGCAGGTGTAGCTAAAGGCAACAAGTTGATTAGAAACAAATTCAATTAATTGTTTCTATCACACAACTTGGGTTTTAACCGCAGAAGAGAAATGAAATGGTGAAAGTAATTTAAACGGTTATTTAATAAATTTTAAGAAATTTAAAAGTTAATCAGAGCTGGTCAATGTTTGACAAGTCTACGGCTAATTGAACAATATTTTTATATTTTTACAGATTCTGTTTACAGATTTTGGAAGTACTATATATATGTAGTATATATTGTATAGTTTCGCTTTAACACCATTCAAAACCAAGATATGAATGGCTCGGCTGAATTCGTTTCGTTAATTAAGCAAAGGAAGAGGAAGAAAATACGATTTTCACTTTCAGGCGTCTTCAATAATCAATATCTTAGAATAACTTTCAAAGTATTTTCATATCAATCAATCAATTTTAAAATCAACCATAATAAACATTGTTGTTACTCTGGGGCAGGGGCGGATCCACGGGTTGGGAACTGAGGGAGAGTTATAAGTATAAATTAAAAATTCACCTTTCAATTTGATCACAGTAGTAAAAGTTATGTTGGGAGATCGTGAAGCTGTAAAGGAAATACAAAAACAWACTACAAACGCTGATATGATACCATATTTTCCCCGTAATCTGAACAAATTGCTTTGATTGGAAGGATATCTGAAATAATCAGAGAATTTACAGCATTTTTCCAAGTTTCAAGACCGAAACGTAACAATTCTTGGACAGAAAAATTGTGCAGCTTTGTGAGACAAAGTAGGTACAAAGACATGGTATAAGCGAATGGAAGAATAGAAAGACTGCAGTAAAAGCGTCGAATTTAGTCACTGTACTGTGCAACTTCAAATATATTATTGGACTTTTTTGTCTCAGTGATGTCACTGACGCAGTCATTTAGTGTGATTCTGCAGAACGAATCAATCGAACTTGCGAAAGCAACAAACGTCAAACCAACATTTTGGGTGCAACACTGAACACGCGAAGAATGAACTTTAATGACATTTTTTCAAATGCTTTGTTGTTGTTGTTGCAGATGGTTGAAAAATTAGATGTTGAAGTGGAAAAACCTGGAACATGTGGTCGTCAGAGTCATCGAAATGTACAAAAACCACCCATCTCAAAGCTGTGATGACTTTTACAGGATTTCTGCATACATTCCAGTCATTGATACGGTCATGCAAGATTTAGTTGAGGCAGCTCTTACCAAAATTTAACCTAAATTTGGAAGAAAAGCATTTAACTGTACTCATTGAATGCCTAATTAGACGTTTTGGGAAAATCTTTCCGGAAACAAAGAACTACATAAAATGAAGCTCAAAGCAGAAGTAGCACTTTTTCAACAACCATGGAAAATGAAAATGACTACGAGATCACAAGTGCTTTTTGCCATAGAATGCTCCAGTATTTGCGATAAAGATATATATCCGTCGATTTATAGTCTTCTTCACGTACTGTGCACTTTGCCAGCCACAAATTTTATCGCTGAACGATCCTTTTCTTCTTTGCGCCGAATCAAGACTTGGCTCAGAACAACGATGCTCCAGAAAAGATGGAACGGCTTAGCACTCCTCAACATAAACTACGAAATTGCTGTGGAACCAGAATAAATAATAGAAAGATTTAGTAAAATAAGCAAACACAAACACCGTGTTGATTTTATACTGTAAATTGAATGTTGGAACATGTATAAAAAATAAAATTATAGTTTAAAGTTAAACATTTCTTAAATCAATTACAAAGTCATAAAGTTCCCCAAAATTATACGCTGGGTTCGCTTCTGCTCTGGGGTACATATTCGAGCCGCTTTTGAGTTCTGTATTTAGTGCAAAGTTTCTATTTTGATGATATTGCTTTTGATTGCATCATTGTAGTTGTTCAAAGCTCCTCAGGGAAAGTTGCTTTTACTTAGTATCGATGGTTATCATGATTATAGCATTGCTCAAGACATTCTTAACTTTTACGGCAAAAACATTTATACGAATTTGCCAATATCATCAATAAAACGGCGAAAAATTCGAAATTCACTTTCAGGTCGGTCAGAATATTCTTTGGTACAAACTAGTTTGAGTTAGGTTCTTCCGACCTACTGTGGTAGATGCTTGCTTTAATTGCTAGTTTGAAAGAACCTCGATAACAGTGGGGCCCTTTCGTTACAGGGTTGCAATGGTAACAATTATTAACCCGTAAAACCTAAATTTACAAATTCACGCACGCTGAAGACACTTCACAAATTGCATATACATTTATTTCATTGCATACATATAGGCGTTCAGCAGCATTATTATTTACATAAGTAGGTGTGTTTAATATAATCGGCTTAAAAAGTGATGTAAACAGCTGGAGAGCAAACAATAAAACCAAAATTCAGGAAAGTGCAATTACGAATGCCACTCAATTAAGTGCTCAATTAACCGTGAGGAATCTATGCGCATTAACAGTATTCTAAGAAATGGTTTTTGCAGCATTTATGTGAAATATAGATACGTTTAGCTATTTAAATATTTGCAAATACATATGTATATACATACCAACAAATATGTGCTTTTACTAATCAGCTATATTTCCCTCTTTTCCATTGCAGCCGCGTTACCTTGCCATTAACTGTGGAAGAGGTGAGTAAACAGGGAGAAAAAAACGCGCACAGTCCCAGTGACGCCACACGCACACGCACACATACACATACATATGCGTGTAATAATAAGAGTGCAATTGTGACGCAGGCAATCACTAACAATTTATCCAATCGCCAATCGCTCATTCTCAGCTACGTTTTTTTTCTTGTTTCTTTCTGCATTTTAATATCCGTTGTTGTTTTTACATTTTCCTCTTTATTTACCTTGTGCTGATTTTTGATGTCATTTGCAGGCACACTTATAATGCAGTTTCTTACTAAAACAAATATGAAAATAAGTAAAAGAAGGAGCCAATGTGGCGTCAATAGTGTGCTTGACAACAAACTTACGAAATTAATTTGAAATTCTGCAGTGAGAGTTGTTTACTTTCGGAATATTAATATTCTCTGATTGTATACCCTCAAAATGCGGTTTTAGGTACTATAAACTGTACATGGGGTTACGAATAGCCCCAACAAAAGCGGTTTTAGTCGTAGACTGTATATTGAGCATATATAATATTATATAAATAATTAGAAAGTTTGTTGGCAAATCTCTTGTTCAGAAATTAGTGTTTCAGAAAACATTAAACTCATAGCATTAGTTTCGGGTTGCATGGCCATGTCAAAAGATTATTACTGGCGGTGACGCTAAAAAATAAACAAAGAGCTTTAATAAAAATAAAAAATACAGGTATTTTACTGAAGAAAACTTGCTTATCAGGGGATAATGACTTCATAGAATACACTGACAACTTTTGACATCCTCCAAAGTTTCTTTTAAAGAGGCTTTGAGTATCATGCACTGCGTATAATAGATGTCTTCTTACCTCCTCTATTCGGGATTTATGCCCTGGTGGTCCAACGATCATCTAAAGTAGCTTGAGTTGCATCGTCATGACTGCAAGGTTATTCACCGTAACAGCCACACTATTTTGTATATCGCTCCTAATCTATTCATATAACATCCCTATTTAAATACTGTGTTGCTTCTTTCAGTATCAAGTTGCACAACTTTATTCAGTTGCTGAGGCATCGAAGAATGAGACCGGCGGCGGCGAAGGCATTGAAGTGCTAAAAAACGAACCCTTCGATAATTATCCCCTATTGGGTAAGTATATATTTTGTGTGTTGTATGCGCCAATTACAGCACATAAGTATGTAGAATCATGTAGCATGTATTTACTGTCGTTTAACGTTTTAATTAATGCCTTGCAGGTGGTAAATACAATGCTGGTCAGTATACATATAAAATCTATCATTTGGCATCAAAAGTTCCAGCATTTATAAGACTGTTGGCACCGAAGGGTTCCTTAGAAATACATGAAGAGGCATGGAATGCCTATCCATATTGTCGAACGGTCATAACGGTATGTACATAAATCGATAATGTATGCGTAGACATGATGAGTTAACACAGCCATCGCGAGGTGAATTCGCTCGATCTAAACTTATGCAAATGTTGACTCAAGCGAAAACAGTTATGACTTTGAATATGAGCTAATGCCTACAGAGGCTCTGGCGTCCATAGCTAACTAATAAGTAAAAGTAAGACATGTAAAAAAAAACTAAATTCGAATGCAGCTGAACATTATATACTCTTCCAGYTAGTAAGAATTAAAGGCGTAAAAATATTTCTCGGTGTCACAAAGATTTTATTGTTAAAATTTCTACATTTGTTATTAGATAAAATTATGACTCGTAGAGTCAATGAGAAGTTGAAATAGTTAAAAATAGATATTTAGGGTCTATAGGAAGTATTCACGTTTTACGCTTTCACCCGTTTTCTGCACAAAATAATAAATTTTATTTTTTGATCCCGAAAATCCTCATAMAAAATAATTTTTAATAATAATCAATACCAAATTGAAAATTAAAAATACGTTTAATCTTAAATACTAGGCTAAAAAAAAGTCTCAAGCTTATAATTAAAATTTTGCGTTTGCGTACTTCGTGTTCTTTTTGGTTATCTTTTGAAAAGAAAAGCTTATTTATTATTTTAGAAATAGCAACAAAGTTTAGCTCTTTTTGTTCATATTTCTCAATTTTTAGTCCAAGATGTCTGATATTAAAAATGAAATTAAAAATTTTTAGTTTTTAATAGTAAATTAAAAAATACAAATTTTAATATTTAATCCCCAACAGCTTGGAAAAAAAATTGAAAACTTAATTTCTTAAATCAAGATGGTGGGATAAAAATTTAAACGTACAAAGTCTTTCTGGAACTGTCTATTTCGATATATATTTTCTTAGAGCTTYGGCTTTAACACAAGTTTTTAGTTTAATTACTCGGAATTACTGACATTTTACACGTATCGAATATGACGTCCAGTAAGTTACTTTCTATACAGATATTTTATATTATATTATTTTAGTATTTGTTTTTATTTGTATATTGTTATAATTTTTTATGTAAAACACCTAACCTAATTCCTTTGCAAATCCACTTTAGAATCCTAAATTTATGAAAGATGGTTTTAGAATTACCATAGATTCGATGCACGTGCGAGATGATGCGGGCAATATACCAAATGTAAGTTCTCCTCCTGACRTTAACTAACTAATGCGTTTTTCCTTTTTCTCTCTCTTTTCCTGCAACACTCATGGGGCGTATGGTGTGTTTAATATATACGTTTTATGTGAATTGTTTTATTACGCTAACGAATACGAMAAAATGTCGGGGTCATGTGGCTGATTGATTGGTCATTTGGTGATGGTGAATTAATAAATGTCGCTTATTCTCTCGTTTTGTAACGCATAAAATTGCAATTTTGCATTGCGCTGGTGATGGTGATGGTGTGCGAATATGTATGGTGTTTGTTTTTTAAACTCGTCGTTAACACAACTAACAATAACAACAAAATGTTAACGCATAATAAACGCTGATGCTGCTGGTCTGATATTCAACGTCTCGCCATCGGTTGCAMAAACTCTTTTGCGCCGTTGTTTTTGATGGTATCACATTAACAATCAATAATCGATGAAATGCGAATTCGAAATAACGACAACAATAAATGTGGATTTAAAATGAAACTCAATAATAAATAAATTTAAACGATTCAACCGAAAATGCTGAATGCTCTATGAACGATTGCCTGTTGCATGCTAATGGTGTTGTGTGTGTGTATGATTGCATGTGTGTGTAAACAATTGTGACTGCTCGTTTGCTTTGTGTGCATCTGTAACAATCAAATTTTAAATGCTATTGAAACATAAAATGACAATCGACACTTTGAATGCATAAAAATAAAACAAACGAAATGCAATGCAAATTCAACAATTCCACACAACCGCACATGCATATGTATGCACATTTGCTGTAAATAAATACTTCTATGYGCAATGCATCTGGGAAAATGAATTCAGAATCCCGGTTATATGAAAGAGAATTTCGTAATTTGCATTGAATCGCTTCATGTCGGTGACATCGGAGATCAAAATAATGTGAGTGGGCTTTGCCTATTACCTTACCTACCATGCGTGCGCATATGTATGTAATATATATTAGTGAAAACCACAAATTAATGGTTGCTGCTATATAGATGATCCCCGCACTATTTTTTAGTATTAAAATCACTACTGCTTGTTACTTTTATAACAAACTCTTTCGCTGGTAGATTTTATTTGCTGTAACTATGGAAATTTTGTACCATGCATGTTCGACCCATTGTCATTTCTATGTAATTTTATGTAAAAATATTCTTCGTTTTTAGTTTGAGAGTTTTCTCTTCCCACCGGCTTTTGTTGGACTATAAATCCGAGTTTTAAACTCCTCTAAATCGACATTTTTAGTAAACGTATAAACATGCGTACCTATGCACTACTAATTTACGTTTTATGTTGCCTACATTTAGGTGCATGAACTGCCACCTGAGAAACTTAAAACACGTGAAGTTGTTCACATCGACATTGCGAATGATACCGTCTTGCCTGCCGATTACAAACCCACTGAGGATCCAACCAAGTAAGTGCATTCCCAAACTATGAAAGTAKTTTGTTAGAGTTGAAACCTATTTGAAGCAATGAAGAGTATTATTGAAACAAAATGCAAACTATTAATATATGTATATATTAAATTGAATTCGTTAAAAAAATATTAAAAGATAACTATATTTGTTATTTCATGCTAATGATAATAATTTCTGTCGATTTTGCACATTTTCATAATATTAGTTTCAAAATATGCCATTTCTCTAAAATAAAAAGCTATGAATATTAATAACAAAATAGTAAGTAATCTGTACTTGTACTATAATAAATTAATTCCCTTAATTTTCCATAGATTTAAGTCAGAGAAAACTGGTCGTGGCCCGCTGGTGGGTCCAAATTGGAAGAAAAACGTCGATCCAGTGATGACTTGCTACAAATTGGTGACATGCGAATTTAAATGGTTTGGATTGCAGACAAGAATAGAAAACTTTATACAAAARTCAGAGCGACGATTATTTACAAACTTCCATCGGTAAGCATTAAGTTTGAAATAATAATATTTAAACGTAGAGATTTTTAAACAGTAATATGTTACCCGGATACGGAAATATTCCAATATTGGGGCCGAAGCTTAAAATATGCGGAATGACTGCGAAAACATAAAAACATAGTGATATATTGCGAATATTTTTAGAAAGTTTAAATTAACCAGCTTTTTGTACACCGAATATTAACCGAATAATAAGAAGATATCGATACATACTATTCAGACCAGTTATTTTAATGTTGGTCTATCTATTATTTCGAAAAAATTTAAAAATATATTTATATGTTAGTCGGCGTGATTTACAGCCAAATTTATCATTGAATCATTCGAGTCTTTATACAGCATATTACTTTTCGTTAAATTTTCAAGTTTACACTCTATAGAGGGTATATTACGTTTGTAGGAAGTTTATAACATCCAGAAGGTAACATCGGAGACCCTATGACATATATATATTTGTATTTATTCATAACTGATTAGTGTGAAGAGCTGAGTCGTTGAGCCATATCCGTTTGTCTGTCGTTCATCCGTCTATCTGTACTACTCTCTCAGTGCATAAGATATCGATCTGAGCTTTTGCACACGTCTTTTTCTCTTCGAGAAACTGCTCATTTGTCGGAACTGCTGATAGCGGACCATTTAACTACTACACAAGCTTAACGATCAAAATTATGTCATTGTATAGAAAAATTTGGCATATATTACCATCCTATACATCGTTACAATCTGGGAACAAATTGTGACAAAAACTGACCGACTAAAATCAAAAATCAAGCTTTTTTATGGAAACTTTTGAATTTCTAAGGGCTATTGCAGAGACGGAATTTAAAGTTTTTACTTGGTTTTTTTTTAATTTCATATTAATTTATATTTTCATTTTTTTTTTGTTTTAACATAATCTAAATTAAAATATTTAGTTTTATATGTACATATGTTTAATACGATATTTACAAATTTCTTGTATTTTGCCAAATTGTTATTTATTCTGAAAGGTTTTCCAACCAACTCTTCAAACGGTAAAAAGTTATGTCGAAGTCATAAACAGGAAGAAATATTAAAGGAGTTTGCAAAACATTTGTTTTGAACCMATTTTTCAAATATTATTTATTATTTATATTAATGAATTTAAATTATACATATATGTGAATATATCGTATTTAGTCGTAATTAAATGGTAAAACTGTATTATTTCATTTCTTGGACATATTAAATTAGTTTTCATCATCATCATATTAGTAAGGACTTTGAGACTACACATTTTCACTCGCTTTTTCCACTATATTACAGTCAAGTGTTCTGTTGGATGGATCGCTGGCACGGTCTGACAATGGAGGACATACGCGCCATTGAGGAGAAGGTCAAAGAGGAGCTTGATCGGCAGCGTCAGGTGGGCGAGGTGCGGGGCATGCGTGCTGATAGTGATTAAAGAAAATAATCAAAGCTTAAACAAATTTATGACAAAAGCAACCACAACATAACAACACCAAAACTACAACAACATCAAATGCAAACAAAAAACTCTACAACAAATAGAAATAGTAGATACTAAACGCCTCCGTAAGCAACCATTCACTCTCTACTCAATCTTTCCAAATGCACCACTCAAACCTGAACTTATTTCACTGCTTTAAGCTGACGAGAGAGCATAAGTAAGGAAGTTGCACTTTCGAAATGGTGCATCCCTTGGCTGTTTTTCCAACCGGAAGCGCAGTGCTACAAATTTCACATCATCAGTAGTTGTTCCGTTATTTTTTTTTTATCATGTATTGTCTATACTCACAACCACATGCCGTTCTTTAACAGCGGAGACTTCAGCAGGCGCAAGTTATTTGAAGGAAACGCATATTTAACTATGATCCTAAGCAGTAGTTTAAATTTAATGTGCACTCCTAAGTTGTGTGAGAGCCAATATTATAATTTGCTTTTGAAATTACATTTAGCTTAGTTAAGCATACAACAGAAACGTATTGATAATTAAACCAACCACAAGCAACAGAAATACACTGTTTAAATAAATGTGAATCAACAAAAAACCATAGACTAAACCAAGTTAAGAAGAAATACAATTTAAATAAAAAAAAGCAAAGCAACTTATTATAAAGAATTAAAAGAAAATGCAATAGTTAATTTTTAAATAAATAATATATAAGTATAATTCACAAATTAAATGCGTTTATATATAAATACTATACATGTATGTATTTCAAGTGAAAATTAAAACAATTATAACAACTTAAATTAAATTGATTAAAGTTATAGAAATAATGCGAATAAACAAAATATTAGAAATTACTGTAACTTCACACTATTTTCAATGCGAAACCAAATCGGACAGAAAAGCATTTTCAAAAAAGACACCTCTCTCCCATCCATCCACTTCAAGTTCAACAGCACATAATGTCAATCTAACTATTGTTGCAAACACAAAGATGTAAAATAATAGCTTAAATTGAAAACTATTGAATCATAGCAAACAAAAGAAACAAGCAAAATAAAACAAAAGAAGAAAAAGTTTGTTGGAGCGTAATAAAGACAAGTGAAAGAGCTCCCGAAATGAATATTTTACTATGGCATAAGGCGTAGGTAGAAGTAGCCGCAAATGATGAGCAACGGCCGCAGGGAAGTCTTAAACATAAATTTTTAATTAAATTTAAATTAATCATTAAATTACTTCGAACTCCATTTAAATTTAAAGCAAAAAAGAAATGATAAATCTAAAAACATGTTATTTAATTGTACGAACATATGCTTATATAATATTTGCGATAAAAGAAACTTATATACATATAGAAATAGTAAAAAGCTAAATGAAACAGTTGATAAAGTAAAGTATATAAATAAATAAAAGCCTAAAAGAGATATATAATAAATAAATAAAAAATGAATACCAAAGGAATGTGTATATGTATTTATGGTAGGCCAGGTAGGTAGGCGGATTGAGAGGCGACAGTAGTGTAAAAACAACAAGCACTCGTAAATTAGTTTAGAATAAGACACACTTAAAGATTAGTTCCAAATTACACCAAAAAAATTCACCAGAGGTAGCTTAGCAGCGGCAATTTTCTTTAAATTAAATATATTAATGGAGGTTCGTGTGTATTCCAGTGTCTAGATATGATTATTATTTATTATTATAATTCAACGATAAGCAGATAATTAGCGTTCAAATGTTATTTATAAATTTCACGCAATGTACGTTAGAATGTTTATGCCCTTTATCGACGCTACACACTAGAGTGRAAGATATCAAATATATAAATTTTATTTCGGATTGGAGAGGATTAGAGTAGCCTTAATTTTGATCCAATCAGCAGCAAATTTTGCACGTGATAGTTTCGCGAATAGCGTATGCGAACCGATTGAAATTTAGAGAGTGTGTATATTTACACTATATATTTCTGCAATTTTTAAAAATCCGGTGAATTTTACAAATTATCTAATTTATACAAATATTAATTAGTTCCGAAACTTTTGCACTTTAATCACAAAAAATATAAAGATAGACTGACAGTCCTTGGACGGATAAAAATCCGTGTCCGTTSTGGTTACGTAGACCCGACTGCCGCGGAAATGTCTTGTAATCATCGTCAACTTTGATAGAGTTGTGGTTGTAATTGTAGCAAAATTTTTATAATCAGTTGTAAACCCTAATATATTTAAGCCTCATYGAAATCGCTTTGATTTTGTAGTTTCATCGATGATGTTATTGCAGAAAACATCTTTGAAGTTTTTTGAGGGAATGTTGCCGGTTAAGAATTCTTAGCCTAATAAAAATCCGGATACGTTACGATTACGCCATGKGAACAGACAATATGATTATTTAAATACTTATGCTAAGAAAAAATCGATGTAAACTGGGTTAGATCTCCGAAATAACAACCCTTGGCCGGACAAAATCCGTGTCACTTCTGACTGTTGTGGGCACTGTATGGCAGACGAAGAGCTCGAATTGYCGCGGGAATCGAGATTGTTCTTTSCGCAGCTTCGTGCTGARTACTGTAGCAGATTAAACTACTACTTATCCAAAMTAGACTCTGACATATCAAATATATGTCCAGCGTGTAATGAGTCTCCACATGACACTGGCCACCTCTTTGCAACAACAACAAAAACTACATTATTTAAATACTATATTTTTTATTTATGTTGTTGTTGTAGCGGTAGAATTCTGCCGAGTTGTAGGCTTTGGCCGGAWAAAAATCCAGGTCAATTCAGTTTGCCTAGTGAAAATGATCAATRGTGGCAGAAACAGGTAGTAGAAACGACACTTATGGTATAGCACCCTTTTAATTTGAACAGGTATAATCTCAGGCAGGTTTATCTCGGATGATATTTTTTCGAAATACTGACAACTCTCACTTTCACTGCTATTCAATATTTAAAATAACTCATACAGTTAAATGTTTAAYCATTTGTGACTAATGGTTCCAAATATCTACATATCTTTTGTAGAGTTTTTTGTAGAGCTCGATCAAACGAGAATCGTATAATTATTGGAAAAGTTACTTTAGGAAAATTATTATTAGGTGACGTGGAAAACCTAATAATAATAGCTCGTGCTCCGAGAACGCTTTGTGTTCGTGTTCGTAACAGTTTGCTGATACACAATTCACATTTCATGCTTGGAAAAAGGATTTTTTTCATCTAAATTTTGTATGCAATATAAAAATAATATTTTAGAAAATGGCGAATAGGGATAATAATTATCTAAAGAAACATATTTTTATGAACAAGRAGCGTATAAGGATTGCAGAATTTGATATAAAAGGGAATAACGAAAGTTGCCGGACTCGTGTCGCTCGTGTGAACGCAATAAGACAAAAGCAGAATTTCTCGTTAATGAAAAAAAGATTGCGTGTATACATCTACACTAATATTCGAGTGGTGTGATATATAGATATTAGAGAGCTGTTATCGAATATTCGGCAGCACATCTTTTTTTCAACTCGTTGACTCATTTCACWACTKAYRWTRMWGATGATRTTTCCAAAATCTTTATAATTCCGTKTCTCTTACACACTCTTGTCTGTGAATGAAAACGTTTTTCACTTGAATCGAATGACTTATTTATATAGCAAAGGTTAATGTTAAGCTGCTGGAGACGTTAAGGACGACGTCTTTATACGAAATAATAAACCATTTCAACTCCTAAAACTAAATGCGAGGAGTGAATTTATTATAACATTTTCGAAATGCTGTGAAGGAGCATTGACACTAAATCAGTGTAMTGAGATAATGCTTAGTCCATATTCTTCAAAAGAGAGTTTTGTGACTCATTTCTCTATATCAGACTACATTCATTGGTTTCTTTTTGGCTCTAGCTTTAAACAAATCTTCCTTAATGAAGTAAAACTAAGATCTTCTCATATGTATTAGGACTAATTTTATAAACAAGATTTCGGCACTGCAAATAGCTCTTCCACCCTCCTGGATTAATACACTCATAACTCAATGTAAAATGAATGCTAAAATTCTATAGAAAAAATAGTTTTATAAATAACGAAAAAATATAGTAGAAAAGAAAAGTTTAAGACAAACATTTATTATTTTAATAAAATCGTAAAAAATATTAGAATTGAAACTAAAAACTGTGAATTAAAGCAAATACTGCTACTGTATGCAAAGGTGGGAAAACTATTGTTAACGCTAAACTTATGTGTCATTAAAATTAATTAAACGCTTTTGCTCAGCAAATTATAAAAATATATATAAAAAATAAAAAAAAGATCGAAATCCGTGAAAATAAAATTCCTTTTTGCTCACTATATCTATAAATGTCTTTGAAATCTTTAAAGCCGCAAAATTTTAATTTTATTTTGCGAAGCAATTAATGCGAGATTGGTGAGATTAATTATTAGGACAAGTATAAAAATAGATGTATTTAGCATATATTTACATACCGTACATATTTACAGTTCAACCGTATATATTGTGTGTTTAATTTTATCAAGTATTAGAGTGTTCAATCTATTTTTTACATACTTACATACACTTGTGCATAAATTGTAACAAGGTAGCTATTAAAACGCGTTGGTCACGTGTCTACTCGTAAATTTTGCAAAACTCAATTGTACACAGTTAATTAATTTGGCGAGTTAATTAAGTGATAATGGAAAAAATACAGATGCAAAATCAAACAAAAGACAAAAAAATATATAATTGTGGTATTATTTTTTATTTGAATGTGGTTTTATGGTGTGGCAATTGTGGCTTGTTTTGTAGGAGGGAAATGTTCGACAAAATAATTGTGGTAGATTTTTTATTTCTGTGTATAATAATAAGCGTCGCTACAGCAAATAGTGTAGACAGAAGCTGAGGCCCTTTAGATTTCGAACAAAAGGGAGCTACATGTAACTATTAATAAGTATCTTACACATCGGCATTTTTGATGGAAATATTTCATAGAGCTTTGTATTAATTGGCTACCGGTTGGCATTAAGAAAGGATTCGAGATTGAGTTAACATGTAGTGTAGTGTTACTCAGAAAACAAAAAAAAAAAAAAAAAAATTTTCCCTTTTAACGAAATCTATCGAACTATCGTCGTATGAAAAATAAGAACGGATTTCCAAGACAGTCGGATCTGTGCAGGCACAAATGCATAAGTACGACAAGATGGCCGGCAGAGGTAATGCTCGAAAATTCAACGAAAATATGCGGCGACTAGTAAAAGGTTTCAATACAAGAGATACTCTTATAGAACTTTCAGAGGTGATCTAGTGATTCATGCCCATAACACCAAGAGATGTTGAACCCGATACCACAGGTCTGAAAAATAAACAAACTAGATATTCACCATGCGCGAAAGCTTTGAAAAGACCAAGGCGACTCCCTTTCGTGCGACTTCTTCAATCTGCTCTTGGAGAAATTAATTCGAGCTGGAAAACTTAATCGAGCAGGTCTTCTATAAAAGTGTATAGCTACCGGGGTATGCCGATGCGTCACATTGCGAAAAGAAAAAAACGAGTGGTGCGCTGTTGTCAACTCCGTTATAACCGCGTCAGCGGCGTCTACAACAGTAGAGAAGAAGAAAACGTATTTATTTAGTTAGTAATGACGGATTCACTGGTTCAAATTCAATACAACTGCTACATACATATGTATAT